GCTTTGAGGAGGGTGGAATCACCTCTTAATTGCTGGTGTTCCCAGGTCCTCCCTAACCCGTGGTAGTAGCACCTGTTAGGGTCCCAGCTATGGGTAAATAGTTAATCCCCCAAACCGGTGTCAAAACTCTATGAAAGTGTAAAAATAGGTTTTAATACAGAAATACTTTGTAAAAAACTATTACCAGCAATAAAAAATGTTACCAACAATACATTTTTCAAAAAAATATTACCAGCAATAAAAAATCGTGTCGGCATAAAATAACCCATTGAGGTTGATATGCCATAAAACAAACCAAGCCAAATCAAACCTTCTTCATCAGCATCACCCTCTCTTCTGTTTTCCAGTAATTTCTCTCTTTTCTCTTTGTCTTTTATAAACAATTTATCTTTTCTTTATTTTTTAACATTTTTAAATTTTTATAATTCCAACTTTTGACTTTTTCATCTATTTTTATGATTCCTTTTTATTTTCATTCTCTATTAATCTCTATTACAAATGTACGAATAAATTCAAATTTAAACTTGTCCGTGAGTTAATTTCCTTCGAAGGGACACACAATTCCGCCTCAACACACATACATAAATAAACGGACATATTATCTGACAAACGTTCACATACGATAACATTAAATGATATATAGAGTTTTCTTGTGTATTATACAGCTTGAATATACGACCCATTATGTTTCTAAAGTTAAACACAGTGAATAAATAACATCCTTGTCTATAAACGACCCCGTAGTATAGCCATCCCTATATAATTTTTTTTTGAAAGTTGTACTATATCTCAATATATATTTCACTAAAATATTTAGTTTTTCACGATATTAAATAACAGAAATGAACCGGAAGTTTAATCATTGGCTAATTTCCGTTTCAAAATTTGTTTTCATATTTCATAGTAGAAAGGCACTAACTAAACAAACACGATAATATATTTAATTAGTCTATCACACTTTTGTGTTTGAAATTTTACCTGCAATGTATTTTTTAAATAAAAATATTACCAGCAACAGATTTGACTCTAGACAAAAACGTTATTTACAAAAATAGAACAATAAAACCTGATCAATAAACTGATTTCTTATGAAGAATATACATTCTATTTATAGAAGCACATCCTAAAAATCTTTTTATATTATAAAAATAAAGAAAAAAGAGACAGGTCCATCTGAAAAAAAAGATAGTATTTAATGACAAAGCTTTATTAATATATTGCAGATTCATATTAATGGATTTGTTCTTTAAACACAGGAACAAGAGGAAACTGTTTATCTTATCTTCCTTTGCTTCAAACCAAAATATTTTGACAAAAAACCGTATTATGAAATCATTGGAAGGAGGATATTGAATCTGTGTTAACGAATAATAAATTCTAATAAAATATTCGTCACCATATTCATTACCAGAGCGAAACTGTTAAAGCATTTGCTTCCTTCTTTATGGAAGAGCGTAGAGTGCTGTTGAACCGGAAGTTTCCTGTGATTGGACAATAAATTGTCAAGAAAGTTCGCGGTGTGTGATAAAAATGAGGAAAGCTGTATCTGACGGATGACACATAAATTGATACCCGTATCAACATCAGCTGGGTCACCGTGGAGGGGGGGGTGGGGTATAATGCTGAAATCCTTAATGAACCTCCGTTAAAAACATCACTGATGATGTACGCCAAAGCATCAAACATATGTATTTCACAAAATATGACTTTGAGGTTATTTTACTTACTCAATTCACACTTTACTTATAGGATAAACTGTTATAAACGGGAATTCACTTGGACCACTGCCATAGCGCCTGGACACTAGTATACTAGCAAATCGGTTTTCTAGTGAAGTAATTTCGATCTTAAGCTCAACAAGTATATCCTTGGGTGGCGTCGATAGCTGTGGTAGCACAAAGTCACAAGTCATTGTGGTCGAGGTCTTGAGCGTGCTGGCTTTGTTCAAATTGTAGATCACGCTAGATAATAGTTTCTCTCATAGAAACTATAACTAAGGTCTACTGAACATAGTTGCAGCATAAACCACAGGTTGGCTCTATGAGTGTTGAATAAACACAAATGCGCCTGAGCAAGTTTCTGCAGTAAGGATTGGCTAGCCGCCCTATTATAATATTATTATGTGTTGGTTTGTTTGTCTTTATTAATATGGCTTCCATTATTTCTAGCCTTTTTTGCAGGTAGATGATGTTATTATATTAATGTTGTCAACAAGTAAGTTACGAATAGTGTCCGATAGGTCGCCATGAATATTTAAATAAGATCTAATTGAGCTATGGTCAGAAAGGTGTAGAGTGAGTCTGCGTGTCAAACATGTTGTAGTGTGGCCTATATAATTATTTACGAATTTTGATTGATCAGGAATACAGTTACTTAATGGGCATTTAAATTCGTAAATAATATTTGCCCTATATGGACATAATATCTTGACTGTGTTTTGAGAAATGAAAACATTCTATAAAACATACATACAACAAACTATTTCTTATTTTAACAATTAAAATATAATCCTTGAAAATGGCTAAATGTATAGCCAAAAGCGCTCGAATAAAAGAACATTCGGACAGTTTTTATATAATTTATCACACGAAAAGAAAAAAAAATAGTAGATCGCATGACAAATTGTATAAAAAAAACTAAATAAAAGCACCTTGTCTGTCGTTTTCAATGAAATGTGCATGAAAGAAGGATTGCTGCCTAAATACACAAATTTTATATATATATATATATATATATATATATATATATATATATATGCTGGATGCATATTGTCTTTTATATATGTGTCTTATAGGGAGTTCCTCAAAGCAATGTTGATTGATTTGACGGCCTATCAAACCATATTTTTCGTAAGTTAATATGACATTAGGAATTTTCTTGAGTATGTGAGTATAACGGGCATCCTCGAATACGAATGGCCACCTATATATATATATATATATATATATATATATATATATATATATATATATATATATAAAAAAGGCTTAAACACTAATATTCCATAGTCATAATTTATTCCATTGGAATCGTAAATACGATCCAATTCATCAGACCTACAAATTCAAAAAGAAAACAGAAAAGATATATATATATATATATATATATATATATATATATATATATATATATATATATCCGTGTGCCTGGAAAAACTTACCAATTAAACAATGTACATCGAAAAACAAGCGTGAAAAAAGTGACTTGGACGTACTACCAATTTCTAATGATTGGTGATGAAACAGGATACAGGAATCGTTGGATTCATGCCTTTCTAAGTAAGATTAAGACAGAACTGAAACCAGAATTCTAACACGGTTAAACAAATCAAATTGTCAATCTCAGTATAAATCAAGAAACAAAAAATTGTCCAATGAGGAATGTGGCAATTTTTGGAGAACGCAAGTCTTTGAGGCTCAAGTTAGCTGTTTGAAACTCACCAGTCATCCGACCATATTTACAGTCGCTTTCAAGGCAAGCACGCTAACTACCTCGTAATGACAAGTGCTTCCTCTTACAAAAATATCCATGCGCGAATCAGTTCTAAACATAGATTTTTTTTTGTCAAATGAAGCGTGTTGGCAAACTTTATACACAGAATTTTTGTGCGGGGATCAAATTCTATTTCAGACAGTTCCATTTGGCAGACCAACACAGTTGAGCAAATTGATTTACGCATCGGATCTCTTTTTAACAATGTTATGTCGACTTCCTTTTAGGACGAATCGCTGGCAACCCAAATAGCAACAATCGACGGATGTATGGTAACAGTGAACAGTTTCTTTATTTGGAAGTCAATAAAGGCTTATCTAATTTGAGTCGACTCAAAGTACAGTTTTCAAACTCAGATCAATTCTTTCTTTAGATATTTCTTATATCCCTCGAACAGCAATGTTTAATTCGTGATCCAACTCCCTACGAGAAATCTAAAAGTATCACTTTTTCTACTCCAATCAACATTGCCTATCTGACTATTTTCAACGTATCTTACTTTTGCTATAGAAGAAAAAAAAGATCTCTGGGTAAAAGATTGGTTCATATGCTAGTTTCAAAAATAAATGACAACGACTCTGATACTTACCTAGGTTTTGTGTCAACATTATCTCAACAATAAACTCTTCCAGAATGTAATTCCTCTGTAGAGCAACCTTTCGCTCGGTCCAACAATGGTGGGTCCATGTGCCAGTCTAACCAAACCTTAATATATGTGGTTAAAGAAAGTTGCATCTTCCCCACAAGTAACAAGTGTCGATGGTCAGTATATATATATATATATATATATATATATATATATATATATATATATATATATATATATATAACATAAATATTTTATAAAATCACTACAAAAATAGCCATTTTCTTTGAACACTTCTGCTGTCTTATCAAGTGATGGGGTTGAATGTAGAATAAAGGCTTTTAAAAGGTTCAAATCAATCAAAACCTTTTAAAACGCTTTATTCTACATTCAACACAATTACTTGAAACAAAATGGCTATTTTTGTAGTGATTTTATAACATATTTATGTTATTATTTTCGAATAAATAATTATATATATATATATATATATATATAAATTCTCTATATATTTTATATATGTGCGGTGCTTATTGGAAAGCGCTCAGTATCAATGATAGAGCTAACATATTTAGTTGACCCTGTGTTTCACATTATGGGATCCTCAAACAAACTGAAGATGGCATAAGCGGGAAACTCAGGGTCACAAACTCATATTCAGTCAACTAAATACATATAGTAAAAATTTATCCGCACTTGGTAATATATGTTATGGCCAACGTGCAGATAACTATTTTGAGTAAATATAAAGTAACAAAAAAAATCTGATGGAGACTGCTAGGAGTTGTTTCAGTCTATGGATGCAACTTTAGGTTCCCTACTGAGGAATTTCCAGCAGACCGCCTCAATCCAAAGCCTGTTCTTGTACGGCACAGGTCCCCAATCGTATAACGTCAAATGACGCTGGAAAACATTAGAGAAATAATGACCTAGAAGATATCCTTACGCTATGGCGAGAGTTCCTTTTTATTTTTGTTCATTGAAAACAAGGCTCAAGAGCCACACAAAGTAGAGTGTTATTGAATGATCTGTGTGATATGGATGCAAGTGGAAGTAGAATGAGGTGAAGATTGTGAGGATATGGAGTATAGATAACGATTTAACTTTCACTTGTAGAGGTTTAGATTATAGTGTTCAAGAAAGCATCCACGCAGGAGTTTTTTGGAGTTTTTCTTTTCACAAAGAAGCCGTTCTTCCGAAGAAATTATCTTAGTGGAACTTACCTGGCACAGGAATCCGTCCCTGTGCTGGTGGAATCACGGCTACGACTAGCTTGGACCGGTTCTGTCCAGCTTGGACCAGCTATGACAAGCCAAGACCAGTTCTGACTAGCTTAGACCAGTTCTGACTACCTTGGACAAGCTACGACCAGTTTGGACCAGCAGCCCAAGTGAAAACTCTCCGGTCCCCACGTTCAAAACTGACCTTGTGTCACACTGTGCTTGTTAACTCGAAAGGTCTAACTTATTTACTATTATTATTATTAGTAGTAGTAGTAGTTGTAGTAGTAGTAGTAGTAGTAATATTTCTTAATACCTGTCTATCTATCTATCTCTTCTGATATATGTAGCTATCTCAGCCTCATCTATCTATCTATCTATCTATCTATCTATCTATCTATCTATCTATCTATCTATCTCAGTCTCTTCTGATATATCTACCAATCTCAGCCTTATTAATATCTATTTATCTATATATCTATGTCTTCTGATATATCTACTAATCATAGACTTATTCATATCCATCCATCTATCTATCTATCTATCTATCTATCTATCTATCTATCTATCTATCTATCTATCTGTCTGTCTGTCTGTCCATCTATCCATATATCTATCTTTTCTGATATATCTACCAATTTCATCCTTATTCATATCTATCTATCTATCTATCTATCTATCTATCTATCTATCTATCTCATTCTCTTCGTATATGTCATTCTACTTATATATCTCGCTTTGTACATATCTACCCGTCTGTCAGTCTATCTATCCATCTCTTTCTGTTTGCATCTATATACTTATCTCTGACAATCCTTTATATCTGTCGAGTTATAAAGGTTCGTAGATCTATCTCGTTCTGGTAATATCTATCTGTCTGTCTATCTGTCTGTCGCAATCTTTTTGTATCTGTTTATCTACTTAACTACCTCACTCTGTTCATATAGAACTAGTTATCTCGCTAACTAGCCGTCTAAATATCTATCTATCTTCATCTGTTCCTACCTATCTATCTCAGCTTGTTCATATCTATCTTCGTCTGTTCCTATCTATCTATCTATCTATATATCTATCTATCTGTCTGTCTGTCTGTCTGTTTGTCTCTCGGTATCAATTAATCCTAATATATCAGGATATTGGAATTGAATTGTTTTTTACTCTCCTGCTATATTTGTTTCGTCTCTTTTAATTTAATATCAATTTCAAGTCCATAATTTGCTTTTCCGAATATGTTTAATAAAAAAAAATAAAAGTGATTTCATTAAGGATCCAGTGTTTATCCCTATCTTTCTCCTAATAATATCTTCATATACGAAATATAAAATACTCGAACGTAATCAATATTCGATTAACAAATATTGAGAAAAATATTATGTTGTTATTCCCATCAACAGAAAAGTTTATTAATAAAGTTAATTGGATCGTGGAAAATATCCTTCATGAAATTACAGGATTAATCCGAAAGTAAGACTTTCTACTTTATTATGTGGGCCCACCACGTCTCTCATGGATTTTGGTGGCATTAAAATAGAGATTGAACCTTTCTGCCAATAACACATTCTTGTTTTTGGTTTTGTTTCTATGTTTTTTGCGTGGTAATAGCTTCGTGGTAATCGTGTAAAACGGTGTCTGATATGAAAGCGCGTACGAGACTTAGGTGCGTCATTGAATCTTATTATACAGAAACATACTCCTACTGAAGATTAATCGACGCTTGCTAAACGTTTATGGAAACCAAACAGTGGATGTGAGCACAGTTAATCGTTAAATTATGCGTTTCAACATTAGTGATAGTCTGTGAAACAAAAAACGGACAGCTTTCGCTGATACAGACTTTTACTGGCGTAGTATGCACGTTCTTATCCATCGCTTGCGAGAATGCACATTCAGAGGCAGTAACAGTGTGGAAGAAGTTGTGTTTGAAGCTGAAAAATTGCTCTTCCAATAGTGTTATTATGTCGTAGCTTCTCTAGAAATATCTAGGAGACATTGCTTTCAGCGGAATACTCGTGTGTATAGTAATTTCATTATTAATTAATTTTATCCACTTTTCTGCTGTTATCAATCGCTTTGGATTCATATTAATTAATTGGTTCTATAATTAAAGTGTGGCATAAGGTCTACCACGACGAGAAAGTAATCGTCGCAATGATTTTGTATTTTGGTTGAGGCTGTTAATGTTCACTTAGCATCAGTAATGATAATGATCATCATCTCATGCCGAAAGAAAAATAAAATGTCTCTTCACTGGCATGTCATGATTTTTAAAGGAAAATACGTTAGAGTTTGGAGAGTCTACACTCCCATAAAAAAAATATCTTGCCTGATCATTTGTCGACCATGATAGGATACATTCAGAGAGTGTAATACAAAACACGGTTGTTTGGGTGCCGTAATGGCTATCAATACGAATAACGAATTCGGTAGACTGTATTCAAATTTCAGCTGAGGTTATTCCGCACTTTTTGCATTACTTACCTTCAACCCTATCTCCCCAGAGTTTAAATGGCAGTGTATTCTGAACTCATTCGTCTTAGCAACCAATCTAGGAAAAGGAAAATTATTAATTCAAAACCGCGGAGAAAGCAACAAGAAATCACTCCAATACTTTCTTCATGTTAATACGCTATTTACACATATCAAATAAAAGGAGGTTGTAGAGAGCCATTATTTTAAAAGTATAAAATACAATAATTAGGAAGGAACAAAACAATTTGCTGTCCAGCCTGCATTAACATCGTTGTCGGATTGTTAACTATTTTTAAAGACCCCCATCTCTCCAATGAAGGAACAGTCGTTCTACTTTGGAAGTACTTCACCCGCGTTTGATCTCGATCAACTCCCAACTCACACCTATCGCTGCAAATAGCTGTATTGCCGTTTGCGGGCAATAGCGGTCAAACTCCAGTAAACTGCTTCAAATGATAGGCAAGCCAGATGAAGCTATTCGACGGATCTAAACTCTCAGGTCTGTCAGTACGATTAGATGATTCTTGACGGAATTGGCAGATGAGATCTCCAACTGATCAACAATCATATAAGCGGTATTTGCAAATGCTGAGATGCTGTGCGTGGATATGACACGTAGAATTACTGGTCATACACCGCGGCCTGAAAGTTTCCGGATGTCACGATTATTCGTGTCACCGGATAAAGATTTCCATCCCCAGACCGAGAGATTGGAATTAGCTCCAGTGTAAAGATTTTCCCATTATAGCTTCTCTGCACGGGTCTGATTTCAAAATTCATCCGGATTCACATAAAAATTGCAAGAGAAAATTTTCTTCGGATCAAAAGAGCCATTAATCGGGATTCATTTGGGATTCTTGAGAATAGACTCGGTTCAATAGGGCTTCTTGGAAATAAACTGATCTCACTTGGACCACCTTAAAATAAACTGGCTTCATTTGGGATTCTTGAGAATAAACTCAGCTCAATAGGGCTTCTTGGTTCATTTCGGTTTCCCATGAGAAGAAATTTAATTAAAAATTTAGTATATCTGAGCTTTTAAATATAATATCTATAATTTTACCATTCGTCTATGCTTAGAACATTGCTGCCAGATACAGTCCGGTTCCTCTGCTATTTACCCTGAGCTCTTTGATGAAATCCAAAGAAAAATCTGCAATATTATTAGTCCTGATCTGGCGGCTCGTCTTCAGTCACTTTTCCACCCCCATAAGGTTGCCACTCTGTGTCTTTTTCTATAAATACTTCCATGGTAATTTTTCGGATGAACACTTCAATATGTTACCTAGATTTTTTCAATTTAAGCGCGATACTAGTCTGGCGTTGAGATCTCATCAATTTACAATTTACTTAGTTATATAACAACAATAAATATAAAAGTCCCTCGTTAAATGTGGCAAGAGATGGCTTCTTAAATTTAACGCCTCCAAAATTAAACTTCTCTCCATTAATCATCTGAGAGAAACCTCTTTTGCTTCTATCAGCATGGCTGATGCTAACCTCCAGGAAAGTCACTTCTTCTGCCTTCTCGAGCTAACGTTCTCCAATGACATTAAGCGGAAAGACTATAATGAATCCATTGCTAGGTCAGCTGCTAAGAAAGTCGGTTCTCTCCAGAATCTATGTTACATATTTCTACCATTCGTCCATTCTTAAAATATTACTGCCACAAATAAAATACCACTGCCAGTGCGTCTGCTATTTATCTTGAGCTCCTTGATGAAATCCAAAGAAAAATCAGCAATATTATTGGTCCTGATCTGGCAGCACGCCCTCAGTCACTTTTCCACCGCCCTAAGGTTGAGCTCTTCGCTAACATACCTAGACCTTATCAATTTAAGCCCAGTACTAGAATAGCGACAAATTCTCATCGATATACACTTAAGTTGTGCTAGATGTAACCGTAAGTTTTATACTAACAATTTATTTTTCGGGCTTCTCGTTTAAGGAACTCCCTTCTGGCACCATGCTTTCCAGCCAACGTTAATTTCCAAAAATTTAAATGCAATGTCAATTGCTATCTACAGTCCTCCTGATTACTTGTCTTCTGTACTCATTCTTTAGTTATGTCTTCGTTTTCTAATTCTTCCACACCTAGTAATTCCTTGTGTCTTAGTGGCTTTACTGCCTTGCTTGGGGTGATACTGATTAAAAAAATAAAATAAAAAATAACCAATTTTGATACTTGTAGCTCTCTCTCTCTCTCTCTCTCTCTCTCTCTCTCTCTCTCTCTCTCTCTCTCTCTCTGGCAATGATGACCAATACTTCATGCTCAAATAAAGGTTAACGAATCAGTCTTTACATTTTAAGAACGTGAAAACCCAGGACACTTGGCTAATTTGTTTTTCTCAATCGCTTTAAAGGTTTTTCGGTAGACTTTTGTCTGAAACAATGAAATAAAAAAAAACTGTTCAATTCGAATCTTCTTACTGGATGAAATATAGACCCGAGGAAGTTGGGAAAAGTCACCAGATTAAACGCCGTATTCAAAATCATGAAAATAAATATTCAAAAGTGTTCGATGCCATATTGTTAACACCAGTCAGGTGTCACTTCTTTTCTCTTTGCTTCCTATTAAGCTTTTCTTGGAGATCTAACTAGACTACAAACCCTTCGACAGATTTCCGATAAAGGTAGATGCTAGTGTACACGCAGACACACACACACACGCAGAAAAGAAGAATTATCAATTTGCAGATGAACTGATTTGTCTGCAAACTGATTCTGACGTGATATTTGGGCAAATATACGAGTCACTAAGGTAAATTCGACGATAGAATATTCTCCATTGGTTTTCTGGTGAAAGACACCATCGGTAGCTGGAACCTTAGAATTAAATTATGTAAGAGAAACAAGATGAATATTCTGTTTGCCATCTATAACAGACTTCAACCCACTTTTCTTAAAGGCTATAATTCTCCCGATATTTACGTTGATCCTGCGTAATGAGGATTCTCGCTGGCCAGCTGAATTTATTCTGTGAAAGAGGTCATTTATCTTTTATTATTTACTGGGAACAAATATAATAATGTTACAACGTAGTTTTCTTCATACCAGATGTCTTTCTTTCTTTCTTTCTTTCTTTCTTTCTTTCTTTCTTTCTTTCTTTCTTTGATTCCTCGTTTTCTTGTTCTTTTTCTTTCTTCCATCGTCTTTCTTTTCTTCATTTCTTCCTCAGTCCTTCGTTTCTTTTTTTTCTTTTCTTTCTTCCATCTTTCTTTCCTTCTCTCTCCTTTCCTTCCTTTATTTTTATTCACTCTTTCCTTCTTTTCTATTTCTTTCTTTCCTTCATTCCTTTTGGCTTCCCTCTTTCTTCCTTGTTTCTTTTCAACCTTAATTTCTATTTTTCCTTCCGGCATATTTTCCTTTATTCATTCTTTCTAACTTTTGTCACGTCTGCTTTCCTTCTTTTCTTTACTAACTTGCTTCTTTTTTTCTTTCTTTCTTTCTTTCTTTCTTTTTTTCCTTCCCAGAATTCATTTTTTCTTTCTCGCCTTCATTTCTTTCTTCTTTTTTCTTTTGTTCTTTATTTCCTTCTATCTTCCTTTCTTTATCTTTCTTGCTTTCTTCTTTCCAACCTTCTCTCCTTCTTGCTTGCCTTTTTTACACCCTTCTTACACGCATTATTTTGATTTGTCCCGAATAAAAGATCAAAATTGTCACTAATTTACAGTGTCTGCCTTCTCTCGAAGACAAGGTACCGTTACAGATGGTTTTAGTTAGCAGACTTCCAGAACCAGAAACCAAGATTTGCAATCTTCATCGTATGCGAAACGCATTTCTCGCAAAGTGGATTGACTACACAAAGAAAATGACAAAAAAAAATACTTCTTCCCAGCTTTAAGCAATCAAGCTGCGAACTTTCACTCAATGATCCAGACAGCATGCAATAATGGCTGACCATTAGCATCTGAGTATACCGGTCTATTTGAGCAGCTAACCAATCCCTGTTGCAGACGCCTGCTCAGGAATCTTTTTGTTTGGTTTATTCCTCAACTATAATATTATTCAAATTTATATCATCCAGTTGATATGAGATATGAGCATGTTTAGTGGGTGAAGTGGTAGTGACTTTATTCTATCCTTATTTTTCGTTTATGCACCATTTCCCTTCGAGATTTGGGAAATTATGGCTCTCCAAGACTTCCTATTCTTTCTAATTCTATGCAATATTTGCACCCTTACTATGTATTGTATAAGGGGGAATATTTCCGTACAAGTTTGGACTCGGCCGTCGGACGAAACATATAAAAATACTCCTACATCAAGAGGAGTAACAGGAGGAGCAGTAGCAGCAGTAGCTTTTGCTCATTCACGACTGAACATTCTCTTCCCTAGTTTCTGTTCTACATTATGTTTCCTTGTACCAAAAGCTAACAAACTTGTTATTAAACTAATTCCAGTTTTCTACTGTTGTTTTTGATAAACTCAGTTACAATAGTATTCGCTCCCATCCCCATTTAAATAGCTAAGTTACCGGATGTTTCTCTCTACCTCTCTTGACTTCAGTTTGTATTGTATCAAATTTTCAATACCCCCTTTCCTCATTACGTGTTCCATAAATTTCAGGTGACCTTTTGCTGATTCTACCTAAAAGTATTCTTTTTTCTTTCCATATTACTTACAACTTCCTCGTTGCTCACATAATTAATCTATCGTATTCCCAGCATTCTATATATATATATATATATATATATATATATATATATATATATATATATATATATATAAATAAAACTGATTCAAAATATGGTTTTTCCCTACACAGTAATAACCGTGTTTCAAAAACTGAAGCTAAAGCATTAGTTCCGTTTCATCTTCAAGAGAATATTGGAATAAGTTATTTTTAAAGAGAAATCCAATCATTCAGACAGGGGCGATAGTGTGTTCATTTTTATTAAGTCTTGTTGTATCAATTATGAGTTACGTTCGTAAAAGAGGTTAAGTTTAGGGAGGGTAGGGGTGTAATTTTCAACGAATTCTGACATCCGTTAAATGCATGTCGTCTGCGTTTTTTTTTTTTTTATTAACGGCAAAAAGTTTTTCGGCATTTTTTTCTTACTTGTATAATTAACGATTCTTTCTTGGGATGTTTGGGTTACAATACGTTTTATTTAAGTACAATTTTTAAATATTTTTTACTCTCATTTACTAATAGACTATATTTCTTTTTAAAACAAGTAAATATAATAGAATTACCTGAATTATTTAAAATTATATTTTATCAAATATAAGTATGTATACTACCAGCTCTAAAACGAATTCAATAAAACACCTACAGTAAAATGGAAATTAATAAGAAAAGCTAGAATATGTAGGTCATTAAATGACCCATGTCCTTTGTGCATACATCAGAAACTAAGTTTATAAAAATTAAAAGTTTACTGAATCAGAGAAGTGAAATAGCTATTTTTTGCCGTCATTGTCAAAACTTTTCTCAAATAATATTTAAAAAATAAAATTAAAAAACTGGGAGCTTCTTTCTTTATATATATATATATATATATATATATATATATATATATATATATATATATATATATATTCATGAATTATTCACACAAAAACAAATGCAAAGGTTAATGATTTAATTGGCGAGAAATCCATCGTCGCAAACAATTCAAATAATATACAAAACCTCCGAATCCGTTATGAATGAAAAAATCCTTGTTTCTATAAATTTCTGCCGCATTAGTTCTTATTTTTACTACAAGCTTTCGTTTGTTCCTACAGACATCTTCAGGTATGGAATAGATGTTGTTCTTGTTTTTTCTCTCAGTAATAAGAGGACAACGAAAATATATGTATTGTTGTATCCGAAAATGCTATTGGAAATGAGTTATATATATATATATCTTCATAATATTTTACATTGATTGCACAACTTAGAGTTTCATACATTCTGCATTCTTCAGGTGCAATTTTTTGGGTTTACACCTATACTTCTGTTTAACCCGATATATTTTTTTTTATTTTAGGGGTGGATTATTATTGTTGTTAAAATAGTTAAATGAATTGCGGTTTAATTATGGATTTGAACTTAGGTCCAGATTAGCATTCAAGTAAAAAAAAAACACGGTTGGAAATAAGAATTATAAATTCTAATCTGAAGAGACGCTGTTTTAATCGAAAGGAAAAAATTTTTAAAAAATTGAAAATCAAGGCGGACAACTCTATTTTTATCTAGAAATAGTGTTAATCCAAAAAAATGTAGTTGAAAAAATCTACAAACGCTGGTTCGTACATTTACCTATATTTATCCATTTGGTCATATGAAATTCCCTGACCACATCGTTCAAACACCATTACGCCCAGATATATTATTCTTTTCAAACAATGTAAAGAAAATAATAATGTCGGAATTAAGAATGCCTTGGGAAGAGCATGCCGAAGAAGGGCATGAACGGAAGAAACTAAAATATACTCAACGAGTTGCAAAAATGATGGATGGAAAGCAAGCGGTCTGCCAATCGAAGTTGGCACAAGAGGTTTTGCTGCAAGGTCCTTATGCAAAGCCATAACTGATATTGGCTTGGTAGGAGCTTAAAAAAAAAGAACAGAGATTCAAACCATAACTGATACAGCAGAAAGGATTGCCAAATGGTTATGGATTACACGACACAGTTCATGCGCTTCTAGGCAACAGCAAAAGTAGTTCATGCAATAACAAAAAAGATGGGGAAGGGGGAGAGGTGTAAATAATATAATTTATGATATAAATTTTAATATGTATCTAATATAAATATCATTTTAAAAATGTTTTTGTTTAAATACATGATTTGAATTATACAGAAATAGCCGATGAACATTTCATGTCAGTTTGTAAAATGTGTTACTTGTAAATCTGTATAATCAGTTTTTATGTGTTAGACACAATTTTATGCGTATTATTTTTTAATTTATTTTTTATTTTTATTTTATTTTTTAGCGATTTTAAACACGATATACATCGTAAGGAGTTTTTGTCTGCCATTCTTATTTTTTTATTTATTTTTTAAACGGTTATAAGCTGTTTGTTCCCCATTCCTTTCATAATTTAGCAATTTATTATATTTTAATCACTTTCATAATTTGTATATAGTGTATTTAATTAGTCTATTTTCTCGATTATTGTTTCACATATTCTTTGCATGTCTTTATACTTTGTGTATTTTTAAAATAACACGGAATGTTTGTTTTGTGGCGACTTAAAATGGAAAAAAAATGGAAAAAACTTTATAATACTGCCTTAAA